CTCTAATTTACGTTTAAAAAATTAATATCAATGATAACATACTTTTAATTGAATTAAAAGTGTATATTGATGTTTTTTTATTAAAAATTACGATTATACACATATATACATGTGTGTGTATGTGTTTATGCATTACAAGTATTAGACTTTGAAATTATGAAGAAATATTCAAACGTTTTGCACAAGAAAAAAGTGTAATAAGAATTGTTATTAATTATTTTTTAAGAGTTATTAATTCATATTGTGCAATTTATGCTTCCTGTTGTGAGTGTGTCTACAAGAGTTGATGTATAATCCGTATGTTACAGCAATATGTATAGTCGGTATTGAAATTCATAAAAGTATATATAATCTTTTCATGAATTTCGCTTCGTAGATATCAAATACGGGTTGAACAACGCTATGGTTCCTTCATGCCTAATATGATTGTCTCTATTTGAACTACAGCGACTACTTGCAGTTTTTAAGTTAAATATATCTAGATTGCAAAATGGAATTATATACATTCGTCATTGATAAAAATCTGATAAAAATCTGAAAAAGAATCTCAAATTAAATCTTGAAGTCGTGGTAAAAAGAACAAAAGGGCATAAATTTCTCAAAATTCTATACATGCATTTAAAAAAAATGTACAGTATTGAATCAGTTATTAACAATGTTTAAGAATCACTAATCTATTTAAATACTATACAGTCTTCATGCTTTTAATTTTATGTAATTAAATGTATTGTTAGTATATTATAACTATAACATATATATAAGGTAAGCATAAATATATTAGTTAGTAGACATGATTTAACCATTGGATAAAATAACAAAAATTTTAAATATTATGACTTCAAACAAATTAATTTGAATAAATTTTTATTAACAATAAATTTATTTAAAATCGTACATATCATTATATATCATTAAATCGTATACATATCGTTAAAATATTTATCATTTTGTCCAACAATTCAATCACGTCCACTAATTGTTCACTAGCTAATACGTTTATTATACCTTAGATGTTATTGCATTAAACACTTTATAATAGATCGAAGAGCACCATGGTTACTTCACGACTAACATACGATAAAGTAATATGCCTCACTCGTCGTAGAAATTGATTGTAGTATCGTATAGAATCCTGTCAGGTGCAAATAAAAACGAAATTCATTTTGGTTCATACATATAATGAAAAAATAAATTTATAGACTGAACGTGAAACAAATTGTGCAATCCCTTCCAATTTAATGTCGAAGTAAGTAGATAATTTGAGTAATCATTTTAGGCATTCACACAACATTGATTACAGTTCAATTACATATGGTATTTTGCATATCATGTTTAGTTATGCCATTGATATATTTCAGAAACAAATAAAAAACATGCAAAATGCATTATAAATTGTGGCTTTTCTACGCTACGGATTTTCAAACTCTGATGTATCCTTGTTTCACCTTTTGTCGCATTCTTGGATTATTCCCGTACAAGATTAACAATTCGACTTGTGAGACTTCAAAATCATATTATGTCTTATCAATTACTATTACTTGCATCTTTTGCGTTTGTGATTTGATACTCCTTAATTACAACAAAAATTTTACGAAAATAAACTTTGAGACCGTAATTACGTCTTTTATGGCTCACTGCTTCAGCATATTATTTGTTTTTTTAACAATCGTCCCACTCGTCATGAGCAATCAGCGAATGCACTTGCTTCAGACTATAATGGACGTCTCTTCGAGACTGTCTCCGAAGTCGTACAAAAAATTATCCAGATTAATCCACACCAAGGACATCTTCGGTTTTATCTACCTTATGGGTCTAATGTCTATGTGGATCTATAATATGAGCATCGATATCTTGAACATGATATTTTCAGTGTACGCAGTTCAATTGATATTTCAAATGGATATGTTGTACATGAATTGTGTTTGCGTATTAAAAGCATGTTTCGAGGACATTAATAACAATCTTCAACACATGCAAGAACTTATAGTAATCAGTAAACCACGTGTCCCTGTAATATTTTATTACAAACAAAGAAATTCATTCTTAATAACGAAGCTTAAGATTCTGAAAAAACAATATATCATGATCAGCAATACAGTACAGAAAATGAATACAACTTTCAGTGTTCAACTACTTGCTTCGATGATCATAACTTTTTGTCAAATCAGTGTAGAATTGTATATCTATCTAGTTCAATGGCATAATGGGTTGATCATCAATTTGAATGGACACGCTAAGATATTCTTATCAACTACGATGTATTACATAATAAAATTGGTGTTAATTGTGTGGGCCTGCGAGACTTGCAAAAATCAGGCTCAAGAGATTCGCACTACAATTCACGATATCCTTAACAGAGTCAAAGATGAGCAATTCAAAGATGAGGTAGTAAAAATAAAATTTAATGTATTAATAAATTTTCCTTATAACATTTAATTTCTGTACATTAAATTTACTTGAATAGAGTTGCGTTTGTCAATTTTACATTTAATAATTTTGTCATGTAATATTACAGCTACACTCATTTTCTTTGCAAATATTACATTGCAAAAATATATTTTCCGCCAAAGGTTTCAATATTGATGCAACGTTTCTCGCTACAGTAAGTAATCGATAGTACTTTAGTTAATTAAATATATCTTATATAAGAATTATATTGTGCTTTTAGATGGTGGGTACCATTACTACATATATGTTGATTTTGCTACAATTCTTGATCATATTACATTCCTGCGATGATAAATCTACAATAATGTAATTTCATAAAAGAAAATAAATAAAATAAAATTTTTTTCCATTGTTTTACGTACAAATAATAATCCAATTAAGGTTTATAAAGACATAATGTAATCGGCTCAATATTACTAATATCATTTACATCTCAGAACCCCCTGCGAGGGGTTCCACTACTGTAAAAGATAACCTAACCCAATCCATTTTTTGGTGTGATGTAGCTCTCACTTCGCGTGGAAAGTCGAAATCCACGTACAACAGTACAATTAGGGAAATTGTGCACCCCTTTGCATAGGGGAGGGGGGGAGGGAGTTAGAGTCGCCTCGCGTGAAAAATCGAAACATGTGTGCAGAATAGTAGTTAATATTGTAGATATAATAGAAATAAGACGTTACTTTCTAAACTCCCTCTTTTGTTCCTAACTTTTTAACGAAGGATGAGCGATGGCTAAAATCTGTTGGAGGTTATGCAAAGTTATGATCCTTAACAACATATGTCAAGGTCAAGATCGTCGATGCTGCCTCCCCTATTCTGAATAATTACCCTAATCAGTTGTAATAAACCTGTTATAAAACTCAATTCATTAATAATGCATTACTTTTTATCTCCAACCACGATATCCAAGTTTCTCAAAATACGCGCAGCAAAATTCAATAATATTTCAATGTACAATATTATCTTGTAATTAAGAAAATCTAGTTTACAGTATTCTAATTCAGTAGTAAAAATATTAATTACGTATAAAATTCCAAATTAAGTTTGAAAAACAAATAATTACTTATCAAATTAAATAAATATTCTAAATATATTTATTAAAAATTACGTGATACACTCACAGACCTGTGCGCAAGCACTTCAAATTAAGAATATTAAATCTTAATTATAAAATAGACAGTTTGTAGACATTCTGTATAAATAATAAACATGTGTAGTACCAAACCTGAAAGTTATAATTAACTAATTTGTAAGAATCACTAATCTGTTCAAGTGCTAGTCGATACTCCTTATCCTAAGAATAATATTATAATAATAATGTATTGTTAGCACATTACGGAAATTACATATGATTACAATAAAAAGTGCATTTTATACATAACAGATCGAAGAGCACTATGGTTATTTGTCGACTAACATGATAAAGTAAAGTCACTCTTCGTCGCAATAACTGCTCGTAGTATCAAATAACAGCTTGTTAGGTGTACATAGGTGAAAAGAAGTAGATTGTTTCGATTGAACGTTTACAGCGAAAACAAAACTTAATGGAAATCTAAAAAACAATCTTGTAACCTCACGCTCGCATTAATAATCACAGTGAGTTGACAAAAATAATTAACAAACTTTAATCTATATATTCGTATAAAACATATGTTTATTGTTCATTCACATAGTATTTGACTAACCATATTTAATATGTCATTAAAATTTTCAGAAACGAAAGAAAAACAAAATGCGGAAAAAAAGATCGCTATTTAACGCTACGGATTTTCAAACCTTGATGTATCCTTGTTTCATCTTTTGTCGCATTCTTGGATTATTCCCGTACAAAGTTAACAATTCAACTTTTGAAACTTCAAAACCATGTTATATCTTATCAATTACTATTACTTGCATCTTTTGCGTTTGTGACTTGATACTCCTTACTTACAACCAAAATTTTACGAAAATTAATTTTGAGACCGCAACCATGTCTATTGAGGCTTACTATTTCTACGCATTAAGTGCTTTTTTATCAATTGTTACACTCTTCTTGAGCAATCCGCGAATGCGCTTGCTTCAGACTATAATGGACATTTCTTCGAGACTGTCTCCGAAGTCGTACAAAAAATTATCCAGATTAATCCACACCAAGGATATCTTCGGTTCTATCTACCTTATGAGTGTAATGTCTATATTTGTCTACATAACGCGCACTGATATCTTGAACGTAATATTTTCAACGTACGCAACTCTGTCGTCATTTCAGATGGATATGTTGTACATAAATTGTGTTTGCGTATTAAAAGCATGTTTTAAGGACATTAATAACAATCTTCAACACATGCAAGAATTCATAATAAACAGTGAACTACGTACGCCTGTGGTGCTTTATTACAAACAAAGAAATTCATTCTTGATAATGAAGCTTAAGATTCTGAAGAAACAACATATGATGATCAGCAATGCAGTACAGATACTAAATACGATCTTCTGGGTGCAACTACTTGCTTCGATGACCATAACTTTTTGTCAAATCAATCTAGAACTGTATTATCTAATCCAATGGCATGATGGGTTGGTCATCAGTTTAAATGGACAAATTAGCGAGATAATTATATTATCTATAATTTATTACATTGTAAAATTAGCGTTAACTGTATGGGCCTGCGAGACTGGAAAGAATCAGGCTCAAGAGATTCGCACTACAATTCATGATGTCCTTAACAGAACTAGAGATGAGCAAATCAAAGAAGAGGTATTAAAAAAAATGTAATGTATTATTAATATATTTTTCTTATAACATTTAATTTCTATACATTAAATTTACTTGAATAGAATAGCATTTATCAATCTTATATTTAATAATTTTGTAATTTAATGTTACAGCTGCAATCATTTTCTTTGCAAATGTTACATTGCAAAAATACATTTTCCGCCAAAGGTTTCAATGTGGATGCAACATTTCTCGCTACAGTGAGTAATCGATCGTTTCCTTTAATTATTGAAATATATCTTGTATGTAACTATTTTATTTTACTTTCAGATGGTGGATACAATTACTACATATACATTAATTTTGTTACAATTCTTTATCATGTCTCATTCTTGCGATAAAAAATCTACGTACTACATGAATAATGTCAATCCATAAAAATAAATAAATAGTACAAAAATTTTTTTCCACACGTCTATCTACAATTTTACTCACTAAATATATAATAATAATCCGATTAAGTTTTTCAAAGACGTAATGTAATCAATTATTATTAATATCATTTGCGTCTGACGATATACTATTTTATTTTCTTAATCATGAACTATATTACGATAGGCGGATAGGATATCAAATTCAAAATTATTTTTTGTATAATTACATATAATACTCTAAATTAAGTTTGAAAAATAAATACTACTAATTAAATTAGATGTATCTAAACGTGTCCTAAATATTGTTTATTAGAATTTATGCGATGACATACACACAAACACTTGCGAGAGTACTTCAAATTAAGAATATTAAATCTTGAAATGGCAGTGGAAAGGACTAATGTTTGTTAAATATTTTATTTATATGACCAATAAAAAATATGCAGTATCAAACTTAGAAATTGTAATTAACTGATTAAATATTTTACAAGAATCACTAATCTGTTCAAATATATGTACTATGTAGTCGATACTTCTTATTATGAGAAATATAATGTTAAATGTTATTTATGTATTGTTAATATATTACAGAAATTACATATGATTACATTAAAAACTGCGTTTTATAAATAATAGATCGAAGAGCACCATGGTTACCTGACGAATAACATATGATTAAGTAAAGTCACTTTTCGTCGTAATAACTGTTCGTAATATTAAATTACAATTTGTCAGGTGTAGATAAAAAAATAGTTTGTTTAGTTAATATACAATGTGGAAACTTAAAAACAGTAATTAAAAAAGAGTCTTGCAATCACATACGCTCACAATAATAATCACAATAAGTTGATAAATATAATTAATAATCTTTGAACTACATAATATCCAAATAACGTAGATATTTATTGTTTACTCATACGTATATATAGCACTTGACTAACCATATTTAGATTAAAATTTTAGAAACTAGAAAAAAATTAAATGCGAAAAGATGGTCGTCATTTAACGATACGGACTTTCAAATTTTGATGTATCCCCTTTATCCTTTGCCGCATTTTTGGATTATTCCTGTATGTACAAGATTAACATGCAATTCCATTTTTGAGGTTTTAAAATCACAGTATATTTTATCAATTATAATTACTTGTGCTTTATGCGTTTTTCAACTAATACACATCAAATCTAAGATTTCTACTTGAAAATCAGGCCTGGAGGCTATAATTGCGATTATTGTGATTTTCTGCTATTCAATATTTATCGTTTTTTTGCAATCGTTACGCTCGTCTTGAATAATCCACGAATGCGTTTGCATCTTCATAATGGAGATCTCATTGGAATTGCTTCCAGTCGTATCAGAAGAATTATCTAAATTAATCCACATTCCAAGGACATCTTCGGTTTTTTCTATGTTATCGGCCCAACTTCTATATATTGCTACATGAAGCGCAAAAACATCTTGATTGCAGTTTAATTGATATTCAGATGGAGATGTTGTATGTAAACTGTGTTTGTGTATCAAAGGATTATTTCAAGGAAATTAATAACAATTTTTGGTGCATGCAAATAATAGTAAATAGTGAATCATGTATTTCTACAATGTCTTATAGGGAGTATAAAGGAATCCATTTATGATAATGAAGCTTACGGCTCCGAAGAAGATATATTTAATGATCAGTCATACAATACAGATACTAAATATGATTTTCAGTGTACAAGTCTATGTTACAATAGTCTTAACTCCTTTTGAGTTCAGTCTTAACTGTATGTTTATATAGACAAGTGGCATAACAAATTAGTCATTAGTTGGAATAAACAGTTTGAAATTTTCTTATTAGATATGACTTATTACGTTCTAAAAACGGTGTTAATTTTTTGGGCTTGCGAGACTCGACTGGAAAGAATCAGGCTCAAGAGATCCGCACTACAATTCACGACATACTCAATAGCACCGCAGAAATGAGGAAATAAAAAATGAGGTAGTAAAAATTTAATTACGCGCTAATATTTTTCTACATTAAATTTACTTGCGAATATAATTTCATTTTTTACTCTTATTTAAGGATTTTCGATCTAACATTACCGTTGCAATTGTTTCCTTTGCAACTATTGTAAAAATATATTTTCCACCAAAGGTTTTAATGCAGACGCAACATTTTTCATTACAGTGAGTAATCAATTATTAGCTGTGATTGATGTAAAATGATATCTTGTTTATTTATTCTTACCATGCTCTTTAAATAACGAGTGCTATTACCACATACATATTATCATAATATAGATATGTGTTACGTCTGTATGCACTATTTATATTACTAAAATACAAAAATAATTATTTTAAAATATTTTTTGTATATAAAACTTATAGTTAATTTTATCAGAAGAAGAAATATATATTATATATATATATATATAAATTATTT